GAAATAAAAAAAAAAACATCCACCATCAATATCAGTATTTGGCCTCACAGCATCCATCTGTTTTTTGTTGCCTGGCCCGGCATCGACCGACACCAGCTTGAATGGACATTTTATATGATGGTGATTTTGTTACCTCGAAGACATCCGTTTTTAAGCTGATTTTCCGTTCTATTTATCGGTTACAGTTGCAAGTCTGCTTTGCCGACAGTTTACCTGCCTGCCACCTTGCTCAGAGTAGGTTTTTATTCTCTAGCTGTATTGTAGTTTTGTTGTTGTTGTTGTCGTATTTTGCATGAGCTTATTACCCGGTCAATACACAACTCAATAATGGTCAAAAAGAAGTAGAAAACCCAATCAAAGCTAATAACATTTGTTACGGCGTTGTACAACCTTATTTTTGCAATCGTAACAGAGGTTGAGAGCTCTTGAGCAAGTGCGAAATTTGCTTAGTGGAAATGTGATTGCTCGTATTATGAGAGGCATGAATGACACTGGACAACACCAAAACTTTATTGCAGGGAAAATTCTGCAGATAAATAAAGTAGAGATAAAAAGAAGAAACGTGAATCGGCGTTTTTTTTAAAGTTTACATCGAAAAGTAACCAAAAACAGAGGGGAAATTTCCCCACTAGCACACTTTTGGAAATTTTCGGATTGAGATTCCTCGGAATACCAACATTCTAGGTATATATTAGTTTCGGAAATATTACAAATAAAATATGAGAATATTTTGATCAAAAATGTAAACCTCGAGCGAGTCAACAAAGGTGTCTTTTTGATCATTTTTTGTAAAATATAATTAAAAATTTCCTTTAAACGGCATTTTTCATAAAATTTTAAAATAGGTCCTAGAAGACGTCAAGAGTCAAAATCTTTCCTTAACGTCTAGAGTTCATTTAGGGTTAAAGCCGTACTTATTGTGAGTTTGTGCAAAAATATCAAACAAAGCCTCATTTTAGAAGGATGATGTCATATAAATAAATGGTCTTCATCAATTTTGCTTTAAGTCGCGACAGGAAAGAAATCTCTATTTCCACTGTAAACCAAAAAATAATTGTATATTTCTAAAAAAAAATCTAGAAAATATTTGCTAATTTTTTGATCATTATTTCCTTGGACTATCCCGAGTTGACTCATGAGAGTAACATAAAATTTCGTTTTAGGCGAAAGGTGTCAGAAGAAGAAATATTCTGCACAAAGTTTCACTTTAAATATCAGAAAAAAAAACGTATACAGAGTGAGATGAAAACACTGCAACCAACTTCAGACTGCTGTCATTTCTAAGTCACTCGTCCGACAGCTGTTAAAATTATTCCAGTGACAGCTCATTATATTGTTTACAAGCGAATGAAAGCATTTTGGTGAGAATTTTCCAGAAAAAAGTTATTTTTGATGAAATTCAAGCGTGATAGTGTGATTTCTTTATATTTGGCTGGAAAGCCACAAGTGACCATCTAACGATAGCACTCCAGCATTTAAATGTGAATAACTCTTTTGTGTCTCGTACCATCTCTCGGTACCGTGATACTGGTAGCGTAGCCCGACGTCAAGGAAGTGGACGGAAGAAAACAGAAACATCAGCAGAAATGTTTAGAAAGTAAAGAAGAGACTTGATCGGATCTCGCGTCGCAGTGGCCGAAAAATGGCTCGTGAGCTGAACATATCGCAATATTCCATTCGGCAAATATGGAAAAAAATGAGTTCGGGGTAAAACCATTGAAACTCCAAAAAGTGCAAGACAAACACCGCAGCAGAAACAAAATAGACTCAAAAGAGTTAAAGCGTTGCTCCACTTGGCCGATAGTGGTGAACTGCCGAATTTGGTTTTTTCCGATAAGAAAACATACGTTGTTCAGCAGTTTGTAAACAAGCTAAATTATCGTGTTTACTTGCCAAAGAGGTCAGCTGAAAATGTGCGCCTTCGGTTGGCCACCAGAACTCAAGCGCCGGTTATGGTGATGGTGTGAATCGCTATAACAGCCGATGATCGCTCTCGGCTCGTATTAATCGACCGTGGCATCAGAATAAATGCCGAATATTATGGAAAAAAATATTCTGGAGGGTGTATTAAAGCCTTGAGCATGCAAACATTTTGGCCGCAGACTTTGGACTTTCCAACAGGACTCAGCACCATCGCAATCAGCACGCGCTACCCAAGAATGGTTACAAAATGAGGTTCCACCCTTTATTTCCAGCGAACAATGGCCACAAAAAGCTCCGGACTCCAATCCGTTGGACTATTATGTCTGAAGTATTTTGGAAAACAAGGTTGGCACTAAAAAATACCAAAATGTCGGTTACCTCAAGCAAGCGTTTCGCCGGGAATGGACGAAAATATCGCAGAACAACATTCGGGCAGCGTGTGACCGCTTCATTGGTAGTTTGAAGGCCATAATTCCTGCTAAAGGTGAACAAATCTAAACTTATTCTAAAATTTGATGCTATTTCCGACATTTTTTGCTTTCATTCAGAAAAATTAAAAAAAAATGTAAAAATTATGGCGGGAATGGGAAAAAAATACCGCAGGGCAACATTCGGGCAGCGTGTGACGGTATCATTGGCCGTTTGAAGGCCATAATTCGTTACAAAGGTGACCAATTCGAACAAATCTAAAATTATTCTAAAATTTGATGCTACTTCCGACATTTTCTACTTTCATTAAATAAAATTTAAAAAAAAAAATGTAAAAATTATGGCCTTTGACTTTGTTGCAGTTTTTTTATCTCACCCTGTACATATCGCTTTAGGTGCATTAAATATGTAAAATCGCCCGAAAGTATTATGGGATCTATATCCAAATCTGAACCGATTTCAATATAATTTGACAAATTTATTTTCCGATCAAAATCTCGTCACACATTCCAAATTTCATTGGGATCGAACATACATAGGTGCATCTAATAAACGAAATCGGTGGAAAATATATGTGGGAGCTATATCCAAATCTGAACCGATTTAAATATAATTTAGCAAACAAATTTTTTAGACAAATTCCGTCACACATTCCAAATTTCATTGAAATATGTCTTACACTGCGTGTTTTAGACATCAAATACATGAAATCGGCCGAAAATCTATATAGGAGCTATATACAAATCTGAACCGATTTCAATATAATTTGGCCAATTTAATTTTGTTTCAAATTCCGTTACGCATTCCAAATTTGGAGGCTGTATCTGTAATCGATCAATAGATATGTGCATATGAAAACGTAATTTTTGGAAGGCACATCTGGTTCTGATGATATATCTTCAGTTCCAAGTGGAATATCTAAAATTTATATAGTCTATGTTATAATTGCAGTAACTTAAAATTTTTCAGGAAAATCTGTTCAGCTGTTTTCGAGTCCATCAATCACAAACAAACATACACACATTTTCCTCTTTTTAGATACAGATTAGTACTCGTGGATCTGGGGTTTTTAAAAATATTATTTTTCATCAGAGCTAAAATTGTTGATTTTTTGGAAATATATTATTTTAATCAAATATATATATTTTTTTATATACAAATATATTTTTCAATTTTTTTTCTTGATTTCAATCAAATCTAAAAGTTGAAAATTTAAAAGAAAATCGTAATTTTCGTGTATATAAATATGTTAAACGACTTTCCATGCGATAATGATGGATTCAAACAAAAAATGAAGGCCAGTCCTAATCATAATAAAGGTTAGAAACACTAGGTCTCTCTGGATGAAAAATAAAATTTTATGAAGCTAGTCGTGTCTCGAAGAAGTTTAATTTTTTTAAATATTTTTCAAGGTTTATTTTCATTGAAAAATCATAAAAATTGCAGTACATAATTATATATAAACGTTTAAAAGGGCTAAGAAAGGCAACAAACAAGTGGACACCCCTGACTTTCAAAATAAATCTAATACAATTTATTTATGACAAGGATCCTACACCCATACAAAGAACTTTACATATGGAAATAGATGTTAATAGAATTTATTAAATATAATTATGTTTCATATTTTTTATTATACCAAAAAAAAGGCTAACAACTAATGGGATTTTCTTTGGAAAAAGGTGGCGTTTAGAAATGTAACAAGGGATAACTTAATGTGTATGTGAGGGTGTCTGGGAGAAAAATTGAATTTTCCCTTACAACAAGAAGAAGAAAACATTTTTTATTACAAATCAAATTATGAATGGAAAAAACATGTAATTAGGAAACACAATAAGAATTTTAAATGAAAGTTGACAAAGAATAACAACTAGGAAATGTCCATAAAACCAACAACAACAACAATGCTAGGAAGAGAATATCTTTATTAAAATACTTTATTATGACCCAGTGGAGATTCCAGGGAATTTCTTGGGAAAACATAACTGAAATTATTCTCCATTGAAAGAGGAGCGTGGTGTGCGTCTTGTGTTTTTTTTTTTTTTTTATAAAAAATATAGAAAATATAGAAAAAAGAAAAACATGTTTTTATTGCCGTTGTTATTGTTGTCCATTACCAGTAAATGAAACACTTGATTGTTTCGTGAGCTGTCTGTCTGGTTGGTTGGTTGTTTGGTCGCTTGCGGTGGTGTCTGTCCATCACTGCATTTGATGGCTGGTCCGGTGTGGTTCGTGTGGCATTGTCATCCTCATTTACACTTGTTCTTTGTCAGTAATATTGTCATTTATTGCCTGTCCGCACAGTCCATCATTGAGCGTGTGGCGCCTCCGGCTTCTTAATATGCCAAAAACGTTTCCTCACTTACATTGCTCGACTCAATTCAATTTGTTTCGATTCAATTCAATTCGATACGATTTGAATTGTATCGATCAGCAAGCCTCTATTCCCCTGGCCTTCTCTCTTGCTGTTAGCGTTGGAATGCATAACCTAACACAATACCTGAGAGTTCTTTGGAAGTGGGGGTAATAACAAAAAGTTATCAAATGATTTTCTTTTTTTTAATTCAAAACCACAAACAAAAATCCCTGCACGTATTGATCACATAATGATGTCCAGTCGGAAAATTTTTCCCAATAATACCACTTACCTTTTTGTAATATATCCACATGTTCCCAGAGAATATCACCAGTGTAGGGTGGTGTTATTGCCAGGAATCTCTCTTTGCCTAATTCAATCATATCACGTCCTTTCAGATTTCTGAATGGCTCCATATCCATGGTAAGGGAGAATTCCTTTACGGCCCAATTGAGCCAATACAGAACATGTTCTTCAGTCCATTCGCGGGGATCTAAAAGGTAAATTAAAAAAAAAAAACAAGTAATAAAAATTAAAATAAAAAAAGACAAATAATTTAACAAATAAGTGATAATAACAAGGAATGAAGGCGTCAAGGGGGGCGTTAGCAGGGGCCTAAAAACCCAAAATGTTTATTGTTAATTAAATAACAATAACTTTAATTTGATCATGTTTTTTTCTTCTCCTCGAAAGAAAAAAACGTCATACACACACAATTATCAAAGGAATATTAAGTGTCATTTGGGCCAAGAAGTCCGACTTGGGGTGGTTGTAATGTTGGTTTATGGCAAAGTCTGGCCATTGTAACCAACTGCATAATACTATTGTGGGAAATATTTCCCAAAATGAAAATTATATGTATTTTTAATTGTCTGTATTTACAAGCATAATTGTTTAATTGTTCACAGCTTATTATGGCATTTTCTTTCCAATTATTCCAAACATATGTAAATTATTTCTATGTTGTCTTCAAATATTTAATTACAACAAATAGTTTTCTTGTAAGTTCTAAGAAAACAAGCCGATAATGAATTTTTATTGTAATTTTATGATTTCAATTACAACTTCTTGCCAGAAATGATTTGAAGGAGAAATAAGGCAATTTGGAAATCCTATGGTTGCAATGGGGAAAAGAGAAACTATCTTGATTATTGTATTATTGCTTTGGAGGGTATATTATGACTTTGAGAAGACTTAGATATAAAATAGCATGAATTATATATATGGGAACTATATGTAAATCTGAGGGGCCCATATCTCAAATCGGATGAAAGTTATATGTGGGAGTTATATCTACAGGGTGATATAAAAAATCTGCAACAATATCAAATGCAATAATTTTTACATTTTTTAAAAATTTTATTAAATGAAAGCAAAAAATGTCGAAAGTAGCATCTAATTTTAGAATAATTTTAGATTTGTTCGAATTGGTCACCGTTGACAGGGATTATGGCCTTCAAATGGCCAATGAAACCGTCACACGCTGTCCGAATGTTGTTCTGCGGTATTTTGGCTCATTCCCGGCGAAGCGCTTGCTTGAGGCGATCGACACTTTGGAGTTTTTTAGTGCCAACCTTGCTTTCCAAAATACTCCAGACACAATAGTCCAACGGATTGGTATCCGGAGATTTTGGTGGCCATTTTGCGCTGGAAATGAAGCGAGGAACCTAATTTTGTTACCATTCATGGGTGGCGCGTGCTGAGTGCGATGGTGCTGAGTCCTGTTAGAATGTCCAAGTTCTGCGGCCAAAATGTTTGTGTGCCCAAGGCTTTAATACACCCTCCAGGATATTTTCCAAATAATATTTGGCATTTATTCTGATGCCACGGTCGATAAATACGAGCGGAGAGCGACCATCGGCTGTTATGGCGGCCCACACCATCACCATGGCCGGCGTTGAGTTCTGCTGGCCAACCGAAGCTGACCTCTTTGGCAAGTAAACACGAGTATTTCGTTTGTTAAAAAAAGCAAATTCGGCAGTTCACCACTTTCGACCAAGCGAAGCAACTCTTTAGCTCTTTTGAGTCTATTTTCTTTCTGTTGAACTTTTTGGAATTTCAATGGCTTTACCCCGAGCTTATTTTTCAATATTTGGCGAATGGAATATTGCAATTTGTTCAGCTCCCTAGCCATTTTTCGGTCACTGCTACACGGGCTTCTATCATGTAGCTTCTTTACTTTTTGAACCATTTCTGCTGATGTAGCTGTTTTCTTCCGTCTACTTCATTGACGATGGGCTACGCCATTACGGTAAGGCTATTAAAAGATTTATTCACATTTAAATGCTGACGATATCTACTTGTGATTTTCCAGTCAAATGTAAAGAAATCACTCTATCACGATTGAATTCCATCACGAATAACTTTTTTCTGGAAAATTCTCACCAAAATGTCACTGTAATAATTTTAACAGCTGTCGGACGATTGCCTTAAAAATAAATGGTTGTAGTTTTTTTCATCTCATCTGTAAATATTGCAACGTGCCAAATTTGGAATCTATCGATGCTACATCCTACACATTATATGAGATATGTAACCAATTTTGGAAAGTTGTGATCCTTTGTGGGGGAGGTACCAGGATGGGTACCTTTACACCAGATCTTGTGTTGGAAGAAATATGGGGATGTTTGAAATTTGAAGAACATCGGATGCCTTTTTCGCATTTTAGTTATAATTATTTAAAAATGTGTACCCCTTGTGAGGGAGGTACCAGATGGATTGGTCCGATGTATTCCATATTTACGCTAGATTTTGTGTTGGAAGAAATATCAGGAAGCGCATACGAATTTTTTTTCATAGGCTGTAGTACCCATTACGAACATTAAATACGAAATTTGTAACAATTGCGGTGAATAATGTCGCAAAAATCATGAAAATACCGAGTATCGGGAGGTACCGTCAAATGGGGGTTACCCGAAGACGTGGATCTACATACGAAATTTTTTGCCATAGGTTGTAGTACCCATTATGATCTTTCAATACGAAACTTGAAATTATTCCGGTGAATAGTGTTGCTGAAATCATCAAAATACGGACTATCGGGAGATACCGTTATATGGGGGCTATACTAAAACGTGGACCGAAGGACATCGCTAGATCGTCTTAGAATTTTACGCTGATCCAGAATATTTATACTTTGTGGTTATGAATATTTCGAGGAGTTACCAACGGAATGACAAAGCTAATATACCCTCCATTGAATGGTGGAGGGTCTTAAAAATGTATTCACATATAATGTATATGGTGAGCAATAACCGTAAATTCGGATGAAGATGTATATCGTAGCCACATAAAAATCTGATCGGATCTCGTTGAAATTTGGTAGAGGTATTTTCGAGCAGTATCTGATGCCCTGTTTCAAATATCATTGTTGTGGAGTGCATATTACGCATGTGAGGGACTTTAACACCATATCGAAAGAAACACATATATGGGAGCTATGGCTATATCTGAACCGAATTTCACCAAAATTGAAGCACTTGCTTTTAGGGTGTGCCAAAATTCAGTTCATGTAGGCTAATATCAGTCATATGGTGCACAATAAACCACATGTGGTGCAGGGTATAACTACAGTATTTATTTAGAAGCTTTAAGTACCCTTTCCATCTCTTGTCGTAAACGGGACCCAAATGCTAAGTTTCAGAAGAATATATCTAATATAAGTTCCCAAAAAGTAGGATCTAACTCTGTTAACATTTTCCTAGACAAGGAAAAATACAATTTTCAGATCACTTATTTACTCAGTGCACTTTCATACTCCCTTAAAGTACGATTTAAATAAACTTTAATTTTCCCATGTAAAAATGCCAAAGTACAAATACAAAGCTATAGTTCAGAGTTATGCGACATAAATGCATATGCATTAATTAATCTGTTCTCTTACCTTTGGTTATATTGCGGTTTAGAGCCTCCTTCTCCCATGATGCGAAGGAGGCTTTCAGCACCTCGGTGACTTTGCGATTTGTACCCGGTGTCAGGGGAGGTATTTGATTTGGAACATCTGTAAAAATACAATTAAACAGATAGAAGACACATGTTAGAAGGCTGATTTATAATTAAGTTTGAATAATAAAAATAAGTAAAAAGGAAATGAAAATTCATATCAGTTTGACCTACGAAATTTTGTTACAAATTTAAAAATATTTGTACCTTCTTTCTGAATCCTTTCAATTACCTTTCAAACGATCATTTGTGGCCTTCAATTGCTGCAGTTTTCTGGCTTTGCGCTGAAATTTTTGCGATGTCAAGCAGGACAAATTGCTGGCCACATTACCGCCGCCAACACCACCACCTATGGCTGCAGCACAGGTGCTGGCCATAAGGCACGAATCACGTGCCGAATGAATACCATTGCCTCTGGCCAAATAGTACGGCTGTGGATAGGGGAAACCGTTGACGCGTAATGGGACACGTAAACGACTGTCTGACCAATCGATCCATTCATTTGTCATTATTTGTATTATTTTCGCGATGACGTAAATTTGTTTTAAAATCTGTTTATTTAGGGCCTTTTATTTACACAATGTATATGTTTTTTGTTATATTTTAAGATTATTCATTGCCACACTGTTGGATTTATTTAAACACGTTTTTTAAAATTAAATAATAAAACACCTGAGTTTTCCCCTCTAACAACAAATCGTTTCGATTAGATGCAAACACAAGACTTTTGCAGCGTGTTGACTTAATTTTTTTGTTTCCAACTGAAGCATTTTATTTCGACGGGAACATATGTCATTAGCGTAAGGGGAATGAACGAATAGGTTCAGCGGCCTATTATAAAGGTACACGCGCCCTTCTAAATCAATAAAACAAACATATTTCACAAAAAATATGGATATATTGGTATTATGCTAATATTCATTTTTAATACATATGATTAAAAACACGTCAGACAGGGGAGGTGGGGGTTTTCCGGTAGCAATTTGAACAAAAGTTAAAATATTAAGAACATATTCTTGGTAGACTGTTTGACCTATATCCGTTGATTTTTTGAGAATATTTTTTTACGTACGTTTGCACTTAAATTGTGGATTTTTCAAGAATTAAATGCGAAGGACATGGGACTAATAAAACTGGACTTTTAAGACTAATATTGAAGGAACGTTGCATGTTCGTGACTTTAAGATTTTTTTATGGATTATTGGGTTGTTGATAGCAATTTTTAGGATTCTCTTAAGGATTATTAGTACCATAATTGTGATTTTTTAATAAGATTTTTTTCTCGATTTTATATTTTTTTTTAACCCTTCATAATTCTATGGAGGGTATATTAGCTTTGTTATTCCGTTTATAAATCCTAGATATATTTATGATAGACCCTAAAAAGTATATATATTCTGGATTAGCGTAAAAGTCTAAGGGACACTCTGTCTGTGTGCCTGTCTGTTTTAAACATGCTATCTTTCTTTCACACATGTGTATTTTTCCTAAATGGGACATGTCGGTCCACGTTTTCGTATATCCCCCCATATAACGGTAACTCCCGATTGCTTTTTCGAAGTTTGTAATGGGTACTACAGCGTATGCCAAAAATTTCGTATGCAGATCCACGTCTTCGTATAGCCCCCATATAACGGTACCTCCCAATATTCCGTATTATGATGATTTTGATGATCCGCCGGAATCGTTTTAAATTTCTTATTAAAAGTTCGATAACGGATAAAGCTCGTCATTTTTCGGATTTTTTAGCAAGTTTCTTACGAATGCTGGAGGGTATTAAAAGTTAAAAACTGCAACAAAGTCAAAAGCCATAATTTTTACTTTTTTTGTTAAATTTTATTGAATGAAAGCAAAAACTGTCGGAAATAGCACCAAATTTTAAAATTTGTTCGAATTGGTCACCTTTGACACGAATTATGGCCTTCAAACGGCCAATGAGACCGTAACACACTGCCTGAATTTGGCTCTGCGGCGAAGCGCTTACTTGAGGTGATCGGCACTTTGATATTTTTTAGTGCCAACCTTGCTTTCCAAAATGCTCCAGACAAAATAGTCCAACGATTTGGACTCACGAGCAATTTTTCGGCAACTGCGACGCGATCAAGTCGCTTCTTTACTTTTCGCACCATTTCTGCTAATGTTGCTTTTTTCCCCATGTTTTCTTCCGTCCACTTCCTTGACGTCGGGCTACGCTACCAATATCACGGTAACGAGCGATGGTACGAGACACAAAAAATTTATCCAAATGCTGAAGTGCTCTAACGAAAGCCACTTTTGGATTTCCAGCCAAATATAAAGAAATCACACTATCACGCTTGAATTCCATTACGAATAACTTTTTTCTGGAAAATTCTCACCAAAATGCTTTTGTACGCCTGTAAACAATATAATGAGCTGTCACTGTCATCTCAACCTGTATATCATTTGATACGTCCAAGACGTGACTAATGGGAATAACGGTTTTAGATCATAGCTAACTTTATCTTGGTACATCGTAATATTATTACAAAACTTAGGTCGAGTTCGGGCAATGTCGGTCCACTCATTCTCATATTTCCCATTCAACAACAACATTTTCAAAGCAAATAAGTTTCTTCATTAAACAAGAAAGGATCATCCAATTGTGTGAAAACTTTACAAATCCTAATACTTATATCAGTGCTATGCCATTAAGTACCTCCCCCCAGAAAGGGTCAACATTATGAATAACCATGAAGCTCATAAGACACTAGATGAACATCCGATTCCTTTCCAACCCGCCGTATTCAAATACGTCTACCAACGCAAGATCTGGAATGAAGAACGGTACCTATCCCACAACGGGTAAAAATTTGGAATAAACAAGGCGCTCATAGAAACAAAATGATCAATTGATTACTTTCAAACTCAGATTATCCTTTCAATATAAGATCAGGTATGAAGATGGAATATATCAGGCCACTCCTCCACTAGCATCTCCCCCACAAAGGGATTAATATTTTGAACCAAACGCTCATATAAAGTGAAATAAACATCCGTTTTCTTTCATATTTCACCAATCCAAATATTTTTACCAATACAAACGCTTCCTGCATGGTTTTTTTAAAGACCCCAATAAAAGATCTTAACACAATAATTTTAACTTTCCACTTTAATTATCACTCCATGAAAAATGTCTTCAAAAACATCTTTTAATTCCTTTTGTCAAACTCCACATTAAAATTAAGCGGCAATTAAGACACTCATTAAATCACTTCTTTAATGTCTGACAACAAGTTGCCATCATTCAAAACCCTTTATATGATTTGAGAGGAGTGCCTCCCTCCTCTTCAGACAATTGAAAACAAGTAGACTCGAACTCGAACACCCACACATGTCAATTGTTGGCATTGCTCTATGCCTCACTCTAAGAAGAAAGCACAATTTCCCCTTTCTTAGAGCTCTCCATTTTGTGGGGTGGTGAGGGCAGGCTAATGAATGCCTTGGTTGTTTGGCCTTTTCATTCATTTTCTACAAATTCAATCATAAGAATGCAACAACGCGTGCTATAAATCAGCACTTGTGTCTTGAATTGTTCTTTTTTCTACAACAAATAAAAAAAGAAGGAAAAAGAAAATTTACAAACAAACAACTAGAAGAGAACTCAAGCTGGACACAAGCTGTTCCCCAACAATGCCAGGGTGACTACCAGTAGTAGCTTGTAGAGCAATGATATGGTTACCCATTCAGCTGAATGGCATGTCTGACTGTCAGCTTCTTATGGCTGTCATAGTAAGTGTCTGCTGCTAATCAAATCATAAAGAGAAAAGTATTATCAACATGTGAATGAGGCAGAGAAAGGGTCATGACATACCCCCGCATACAAATGGAACAGAAGGGAAAATATTTGATTACAAGCAGAAGGCAATTGTTGCTTCAGCAAAGGTCAATAAGTTTAAATAAAGAATTGAATTGATTTGTTACACATTCATCCAAACATACAAACACACACCCATATCACGAGAGGGGGCCCCCATGCCAACGTTTATCGCCTTCTGTATCATAATTTCATGTTGTGATTGTTAACCATTATGTGTCACATTTTATCGCTGCCGAACTTCAAAACTAGCCAATTAACCCTTAGATATGCTGCTAGCAAACAATTTCATTTCCATTAAATTTTCATTGTAAAAAGAAATGAGAAAGGGTGAAATAAGTTTGTTTCAATTCTTTGCTGTACAAGCAACTGGTAGCTGCTTACATATCGCCACGCCACCCTCACGGTGGTAAAAAGGGGCAGTCGATATCAAACAATTAAGTTGAGTGTGTGTTTATCGATTCGAAACATGACAAACAAATCATAAAACAATTACAAGGCCGTGAATGGGTGTTATCAAATTTCTTGCTAAATATTACACTATTACCCCGAACAAAATAACTCTTTAATTTAGGGGGGAACCCCAGGTCTCCAGGGATTTTTAGAAAAAAAAATAATAATTTTGAGTAGGAAAATAGCAATAAATTTGGACTGGGGCCAACATTTTATACCCTTCACCATTAGTGTTAGAAATCTTGTTATTCGAACGTTATATATGAACTCGGATAAGGAAATATCTATTTGTTTAGAATCGCAAATAAGTCTCTATTAGATCTATTATTGCAGGAAGAAACTTGTTTGAAATGTGGAAAACCCATCAAAATGGCAAATGTGACTAAAGACCGATACATTTTGGCTATTCGAAATATTAGGTAATATTTAATTACGTATACACGATTCCAGGATATTATATTGAACCAGTAAAGAAAGTCTTAAAGTCGGACGGGGCCGACATTATGATACCCTACACCACTTTGCCAATTTAGTAGAGCTGCGCATAACAATTAAAGGTTTTTATGGGAGAATTCAATCATACACGCTATGATTAAAATTTGGCAAAGATATTTCTGACCTGTATTTCATATATTTCCCTAAATATCGTTGTTACGGAGGGCATATTACGGCTGTGGGTAACAAATATGATAAATCGGATGAACAGTATATATGGGAGCTATAGCTATATCTGAACCGATCATCACCAAATTTGACATACTAGCTGCTAG